CCAGGAACAATTATCAGCAGGACACTTCAGGTAATAATTGTTTAAAAAACAAAAAAAATCCATCGAAAACTAATATACCAAATACACTAAAAAATAACTACACATTCAAACAATAAATTAAATCCTTACTAAGATGAACTAGAACGAGTCACAAGAAATATGAATTTTTCCACGACTCCATAATGTCGCATCACCTCCATAAGTGTTTCTTTATCATTGTAAATATGATTTTCAGCTATAAATAAATTAGAAAGGTCACTGATTACTCCATTTCCTTCATCAGTATTTTCATCGACAACTCCATCTAAATTCACTCCTATCAAGCGGATGGAGTTGCTGGAGTATAAATCAAAGTTAGTTAGTGTTCTACTAACATCAGAATGTCTCCTATCCACAACAACTACAGAATCCTGATTATCTATTGTTATATTCTTCAAAGTTATGCACAATGGATATTTCGTAAAGAAATCTACATTAGCTTTCTTTTGATCTAAAAAAACCCGCACACCAACGTCATTGTGGATACTAACAGGGGGACATCTATCACTAACTATATATTTTATCTCTATATTGTGAATATTAGCATCTATCATTAGTTGCGATGTTATCGCACTTACTAGACCATTATAAAGACTAGAATACTCATATATAATCCCCTCCATCTAAAAATCAACATATTTCCATGTTTCATTAAAAAAAACTAACAATTAGTCTTACATAATACAAAAAAAATAAAATTATATACACTTGTCATTATTTTTTCATACAAGAATCATTCAGACGGTAAACTACAAACATATTTCATTTTAAAAAATAAATCAGATTTCATACCTACTTAATACAAATTTCATACATCCAATCATCATTTATACCAAATTTATACATTTCTCATACCAAATAGTTCATTCCTTTCGCACAAATTTATACATAATTGACAAAACTTATATAAACAATAACATTTCACATTTCATACCAACTTAAAACATTTTTAATACACTTATTCAAAATTCAGAATAACTTTTTTTACTAACTAGTTAACACACTTTCATATCAACTTAAAACAACTGTCATATAATTCTTCAAAATTCTACATAACCTTTTTTTCACATTAGTGAATACACTTTCGTACCAAATTAATTACACTTACACTAACAAATTCATTCAAAACTATACATTTTAATTTATTTTTTCACGAAAAAAACCAGTAATCAATAATATAATAGAAACTTACCAAGAAAAAAATCAGTTATCAATAATATGGTGACACTAAACCACTACCAAAAACAGAAACTTACCAAGAAAATCACTAATATTACAATTTCACAACAACTAATAAGTATTATGAACAAAACCTATTGTTTATACAAAAAAAATATCACATTCAATATAGTGGCGATTTACAGTTTCATTTTTTTTTCTATTTCATTGAAATCCAAATAAAAATAGTAAACAATTAAAAATACTCACCTGAAGCAACCCATCTTCCGCCATGTTTAATTAATATTGATACGTAGTTGTCCATCACAAAAAAAACACATGTTTTCAACAAAACAAAAAAACAATTTGTCGCCAGTGACAATTTCTGGAAGAAAAACGAAGAGAGAGAAACGTGAAAGAAAAATGGATAAAATCTGATTTTTAAATTAATTTTAACAAATTGGAATGAATTAAGGAAACTGAATATTCTTAATTAGTTTGAAATTCCTTAATTCATGCTAATTAATAATTATCTTAAATTAATTCAAATTTAATTGTCATCCCTATTTCCGTTTTTTTCATTTTTTCCTTCAGAAACATTTTATTTTAATTTCCTTTTATCTTTTTATTCTTTTCAAATCAAATGTTTTTAATTATTAAAAATAACTTCTTTTTTTAATAATATGTTACAACCTGAAATTTTTAATGTTATAACTTGAAAGTCTAAATCTATTGCTATAACTCGAAAATATTAGTATAATATATGTCATATTAGAAATTTTCACATTTATAAATGATGTTAACCCATTGGTCAGAGAAGCCCATTTTCCTTAGCACTAGGCACAGGAAATACCAAGAGACTCTAACGTAGGCTTTAGCCATGTCGAGTTTGATTACCATATTACCTCCTTTGTTAGGATTCTTAATGTCATCAATGATCTCTTAGTCTAGCAGGATATTCTCAGTGATAACTATCCCTTTGATGAAGCCACTTTGATTTTTGGATATGATTCTAGGGAGAAATCTGGCTAACCTTGTATTAATAAGTTTAGCAATCACTTTTCTAGTCAAATTGCCAAGCTAATAGGCCTAAGTTCTGAGCATTTCTGGGGATGGTCAATCTTAGGGATCATAATAATACAAGTATGAGTAAAGAATTTGGGGAGCTTAGCACCAACCGTGGTAGCTTTGTAGAGATCTGTGGAAATGATTTCCATGTTTGCTGATAAAAATAACCACTAAATCCATCTGGACTCGGGGCACTGTCAATATTAATATATAGAGAAGATACTCTCCTTGACTTCCTGTAGAGTAGGCATAGCATTAAGCATAGAGTTATCGTCATCATTATTACAATTATCAAGGCATTGGAGAGTCTCAAAGTTGTTTAACTGCCTCTCTTGATTAAACATATTCTGAAAATAAGACACAATAGGCATTAGCTATAGGCTCATTTCCTTCAATCCATTGTTCCGGCACATTCATAATTTTGCTAAGAGTGAGCCTCTTTCTTCTGTTTTCTATGATGCTGTAAAAAAAGCAGTATTGACATCACCCTCTTCTAGCCATCTAGCTTTAGATTTTTATCTGACGATAGAGTTGAATTTTCAAATATCTTGTATATTCTTCCCTGCATTTGGAAAGCTCATATCTATTCTCAAATGTGTGATTGGTTATACAGTTGTCCCCAAGTAATCTCATATGTGTTATCAATCTTTTTGGTTCTTCAAAAATGTCCCCATACGCATGTCTGGACCATTTACTAAGGCATTTGCTGGAGTTTTTGAGTTTCTAATGGAGGATGTACAGTGGATTCCCAAACACCTCTATTTCCCAAGCTTCCTTGACTATTTGTAGGAAGTTCGGATGATCAGCCCAGAAATTAAGGAATATGAAATATTTGATGTTATGAGGCTATCATTCTTCATAGTAATAAGTAGAGGGGCATGGTCAGAGCAAGCTCTTGACAAGTGAGAAACAACAGTAGTATTATAGTTGTGAAACTACTTTGAGTTGTAGACCAATCTATCGAGTCTTTTCCAAATTGTAGGGGGTAGATCTCTGTTATCACACCAAGTGAAAGTTCAGCCCGAGAAACCTGTCTTGGAGACCACAAATCACAATCATTCAAGCAGTCCAAATATTCTAGGCTCTCTTCAAATCTCTGGTCTCTGCCTCCCAATTTTTCCTCACTACCCATTATGACATTGAAGTCACCAATAACTCCCCAAGGGTCCAAGCAATTATTGGCAAGACTCCTAATGTCATCCCAAAGCTCCATCCTGAGTGCTTCAGTACACTTTGCATAGACCACGGTGAAAAGAAAAGGGGGGTTATTCTGGGTGTGAATCTTAATATTATCTGAAATGATGGTAACAGTGACAAGGTTGGACCATAGGATCCAAATCTTGTTAGAACAATTGTAATAACCATGACGTATCCCAAGTTTCCTTTTGTATCTATCCATTTTCCTGCATTCTACCATAGGTTCTTGGAGGAAAACAATAGGGAGTTGGAATTGTTGAACCATAGTTTGGGGTCTTTCAAAAGATGCTTTGGAACCTATTCCTCTGATATTCAAAGATAGAGAGCTGATCATTGGAAACTTAAAGAGATGGTACCTATTTGACTGTCCTTATCTGTAATTGTTTCATGTTCTATGGAGCCATGCACTCTTCCGGTGTTCTGGGAGTACCTAGGTGAAAGATTGATATTGTTCTGGACTTGAGGTTTGGATTTGATGGTTTCCAGGTTATCGTCATTCTTCTCTTCACCTCTAACTACTTCATCATCTGAGAAGGATGATACATTTATATCTCTGCGCTCCATGAAAGTATCTGTCATCCTTAACCATGTTGTCCATGGCTAGGAGTTCTTCAGAGAGAACTCTACTGGTAATATTTGTAAACTCTCTTGTGTCAGGTAGATCGGGTTCCTTGTATACATACATATTCCCTTCGTTTGTTCTATTGATCTGATATCCCTGGTTTCATGTCTTCTCCCCCTATTACTGTAGAGCTATGATTGTACATTCTGTTAATCATGTCTCTATTGATTGCAGACCAACTAAGTTCTGACAATCTAATATTTGCAACGGGGTTGTTTGGTTGATGGTTAGACTTATGCAGGTTTAGTTATTCCATCATTTTATTCTACATAACATTAGACACAGATTAGTTATGCGGGATTCTAAATCAAACACCATATTTGGTGAGTTGAATTTTATACATAGCAAAAAAAAAAGAGGCTATCAAACATGGTACAAGTAGGATTTAATACATTAATATCCCGAAACTCCTAACCAACAACCAAACGACCCCTAAGTGAATCATTTTAAAACTAGATTTTTTAACTATTTTCTGCTGCAGTAAAGACTGAAGATCAATCCATGAAGGACAAATCAAGGTTTAGTGTCTCTCTCAGAAGTCTTTCACAACCAAAGTCCTTAAAAGACATAGCAAGGACTTGGGATATTTGCACTCACGTGATAATTTCTGAGTATGCACAGCAAAGTGGTGGAGGAACTTTCAGCTCAAAGTACGGGTGGGTCTTGGGAGAATTGTTTGAGTGCAGCATGATCAAACACAATCTGATGAGCCAAGTTATGAGATTATCTTGATCCACCCTTCGACTGCTGCCTCCTATATAGTGGAGGTGACTGCACATATTTCGGGTGCACACATGTTAAACTCAGATGAAAAAGAATACAGGTCACCTAGTATGTCTACAGGGAATCAGTAGCCTAATTTGACAATAAGTCATACCTTATGCATTGTTATATATGCACTTTGCGTAAAAGTCTGTCAAGTGGACACAAATTTGTAGTTCTTGCTATAGTTAACTGTGTATAAATCCTCCCAATCCCTTTTTGCATTTCTGTGCAGAAAGTTTGTAGAGTGGCTAGAGGTTGAAGTTTTTGGGATACTTTTCTCTACAAACTGTGTTCGAATTCCCCATAGTACCTCTGCACATTTTTTCATAGCTGGTCTCGCCAATCTGGAAGGTGCAAGGCATTGTCTAGCTAGTTTGAGTACTTTTTCAACAGCCTCAATTGATGCTGGGCTTCTTCGCAATCTTGGATCCATTGCTATTATAGAATCCCCATGTTTTAGTATTCTCATCGCCTGCATTTGAAGATTATTTGCATTAGCTACTAACTTCATTGTAGAAATGGATAGTATGGAAGTACAGACTATTATGTCCAACTTTATTAAATCCAAGAAAAAGAAGAAAAAGTTCTATAGTAATGGTTGTTTCTTCAGAGAAAAATGAGTAAGGCACAATTTAGACAGAAATATGGTAGAATGTTGTTTTCCCTCAGCTGGTAGTTTCACGTGATGAAAATTTGCAAAAAATTACCTTCAATTGTCCAGTGCACGCGTCCTTGTCAATTGCATGCAACATTGGGCTATTTATTGAATACAACTTTAGTTAGTTCATAGACTTACTCACCCATTTTATCGTCACTCTCTCATCAATGGTTCGATTTGTTTCAATGGGATGTCTTCCTGTCATCATCTCTACAAGCAGAACACCAAAGGAGTAGACATCACTCTTTTCAGTAAGCTGGTATGTCCTTAAGTACTCAGGATCTAAATAGCCGGCAGTCCCTTTTATTTGTGTAGAAATGTGTGTAGCACAGGGATCTTCAGCAGCTAATCGTGCAAATCCAAAGTCTGCTACTTTAGCATGGAGATTTTCTGTGATGAGTATGTTAGATGCTTTTATATCTCTATGGATAATTGGAGGATCTGTTATCAACATAAACACTTGGTAAGCATTTTAAGAACAACTCTCCTCATTCTTTAAAAGAAAAATAAAGTGATAATGGATTGACATCTAATAAAATACTCCTTGTAGTCAGCAAACATGACGTGCTACCTGTGTACGAGTGCAGATAGGTAATAGCATGAGCTACATCAATAGCAATGCTCAAACGCTCGGCAACTTCAAGCTCGGTTCCATTCTTACCTGGATTATATATAGCAGATGACATTAACTTCCACTGAATATTGACTCAAAAAAATTCCAAGTTATCAGATCAAATTAGGATAATAACCTAGTTTTAACGGTTTAAAGCCATAACACGTCATGGTATCTTTAGAATTTAAACAAGATTGGAGCAAATAACTAATATAGACAATGCTTCATCCAGTTCTCAGTAAAATACCACTGAGAGTATGCTAATAATCAAGTAAACCAAACAATCCTGTTAGTTGAACATGGCATAATAATATGACTAGTGACTTTCTTGACCTACCATCCAAGTGTTCTCGAAGTGTTCCATTGCTGACATATTCAGTGATAATAATCCTCTCATCTCTGAGCTCCAGAAATCCATAAAATCTAACAAGATTTAGATGTTCAATCTTTGACAATGCCTGGACTTCATTCTTGAATTCTGCCAACACTCGCAAATCCTACAAAAGATTTCGTATAAAGATTTTGAGCACAATCTAGCATACCTGTTAGTCTCAGAACTTTAGAGAGCATTGATAAAACTGTGGCTGAAGAATACAACCTATGCTCTTGTTCAGAGCAGGTCAAAGACTAATGTGTATAACAAAATTCAATACAAAGCAGTACCTTCTTAGCGCGCTTAATAGCAACAGGAAATCCATTCTTAAGCTTTCCCTTGTACACTGTCCCAAACCCACCTTCACCAATCTTGTGTACAGCAGAAAAATTTCCAGTCGCCTGGCAAATTTCATCAAACGAGAACTCAAATGTACCTAGCTGCTCCCTGGTAGCCATTGAAGTTCTATGGGAATTAGAGTATTGGGGTTTCAACAAAATTCCCCTCTTGCTTCCGGAAGAGTTACTACCTTTTGATGCTACAGATAAAAGGAGAAAGATGCCAAGTAAATTAGTTACAGCAAGAACTCCCTGATATCCTCAGCTACAAAAAGCTTGATGGAAATAACTTGGATTCATATCATTATTGATTTGCACCATAAAAGCATAAACACTAAGGGTGTGTTTGGTATGAAGGTTTTCCAATTTTCTCATGTTTGGTTGGGTTAAATGTTTTGGAAAATGTTTTCCAAATCAACTCATTTTCCTCAAATTTAAAGAAAATGACTTCCCTTCAAAACTTAAGGAAAACATTTTCCAAAACTCTCTTCCAACTTCCAATTAAAAAAAAAATTGTTAAAAAAATCAATTTAAGTTTATTTTTAAAAAATATTTTCAACTTTAAAATTTCATTTTTTCACCCTACCCTTGACCCCCCACCCACCTCCTACCCAACCCCCGACCAGCCCCCCACCCCCCCCCCCAAAAAAAAAACTAAGTTTGTTTTTAAAAATATTTTCAATTTCAAAATTTCATTTTTTTCACCCCTACCCTCGACCCCCCCCCACCACCACCACCCCAAAAATAATTTTAAGTTTGTTTTTCAAAAATATTTTCAATTTCAAAATTTCATTTTTTTCACCCCACCCCACCCCTACCAGCACCCTCACCCCCCCACCACCCCCAAAAAAAAATTTTAAGTTTGTTTTTAAAAAATATTTTCAACTTCAAAATTTTATTTTTTCACCCCAACCCTCGACCCCCCCCCCACCCACCCCCTACCAGCCCCCATCCCCCAAAAAAAAAATTTAAGTTTGTTTTTAAAAAAATATTTTCAACTTCAAAAATTCAATTTTTCACCTCTACCCTCAACCCACCCCCTACCACCCCCCACCCCACCCCCAAAAAAATTTAAGTTTGTTTTTAAAAAATATTTTCAATTTCAAAATTTATTTTCTATCCTAGTAAAAATAAAAGATATTTCTCAAAACAAAAACATAAATCAAACACTAAAAATCTTTTCCGGAAAATATTTTCTACTCACCAACCAAACATGAAAAAATAAGTTAAAAATCAACTTGTTTTCCAGGAAAACATTTTCCTTCATACCAAACACACCCTAAAACTAAAATAGACCCCTCTAATTATATCAGAACAGGATCCATTTTCTGACTTAAATGTCACCATAAATCAGCCCTCAGACATGTTGATAAACAGTGAATCTTTATGACGATAATAAAATTATTTATGAGATTGGATTAGTAACTTACAGGAGACCTCCCTCTCTGGACTTGGACTTCTGTTGGTCTCAGAATTGGCTTTCTTCTGCCAAGAGACAAGTGTAGAGAAAACATCACTTATCTTTTTCGTGACACTTTTGAAGGAAAAGCCAAACTTGTGATGATGCTTTCTAGGTCCAGCAGAGTAATCAATGATTAAGTGTTGTTGGAAACTCTGCCTTTGGCTTCTGTTTGTTCCCTTCATCTGGTTTCTGAGTTGACCATATCAAATGCTAAAACTCCATATTAATGTGTTACATGTTCTTAAAGTTGTCAGTGATGAAGGAGACTCTTTCAAACATTTGATGATTTTCTTATATTTTATTGATCACCATAAGCTAAAGGAAACTTCTTGGACTTGATTGAAAGCTAAAAATATTTGGACATGTTGCCCATTGGTTGATCAAACTGAGAATGACTCAGTCAGCAACACATTTTACAAAATTATCCATTTTCATTATTACTACTGCTATTTTAATATTATGGTATAAGGTTATCTTGGGATGGAAAGAATGACAAAGGATCTTGACTTTGGTACTGCCACAAAGGAAAAATAATATCACCAGACTAAACATCAGGTGTTTTACGTCACTTTTGCTTGGAGCTTTATTATCTACTAGTATACATACCCGCGCGATGCGCGGCCATTTTACTTAAAAATTGAATCATTAAATAGTTTTACACATATAAAGATAACGATAAAAATAAATTTAATTTATGCAAATTAAGTGTTTGTTGGTACAAATAAAATTATATTTCTTGCAATTCTTTATTGTCTAAATTATTAATAACATTTTTTTTTGTATTATGTCATTTTGTTACTTAAGTTTTGCAACGAATTCACAGTGCAAATATTTTTATTTTATCTCTATCACTTTTTTTGTAAATAATTTTCTATTGTATATTTTAAATAGTTTTGTCATATAGGATTTTAGTAATCGAAATAAGATTATATTAATTAATATTGTTAAATTGAATTTTGTATCCAAAAGATAAGAAGAAATGTTTTTTTTTTCCAATGTTTAAAGCTTTTGAAAAAGCTATCGATAATTGTAAGGATTATCTTTTTATATTATATGCATGTGATAATATACAAAAATTTCCTTCCATTTGATTTTTAACATATAATTTTATATTTAATTAAATTAAGTTTATAAAAATTCCTATATGAAATTTTAGTACTTTTAAATTTTTTATTATGTTGCTAAATTTATTTCATTATATTAGATTTTCAATTCTAGATACTATCTATTGCATGGTTTCGTTATACATTATCATTCTCCTCTTTATTTAATTCTTTTTCTACAATGATATTTTTATCAACTTTTTCATTTATAGTTCAAATAAATAATAATGTTATTATTAAATTTTGAATTTAAATTAATTATCTTACATATCAAAGTGAGAATTTTTTATCTTTAAAACGGAGATATCAACATGAAAATTTGAATTTAATTTTTTATTTTAAATATGTTTCTTGAATATTTTTTCAATTAATTATTTTTATTTTTGTCGTTATTTAGTAAGTTCCAATTACATGATCTTATTCGTATAGTATTATTTTTTTAATATTTCAGAATACTTTTTCATATCAAATTTAAATATTTATTCTTTTACATTGAAATTATTTTATTTATATATTTTTCATTTTGTTGTTCATGGCTATCGTTATTGTGTTAACATTATGCCATACATATTTATTTATTTTTAAAATAATATATATATATATATATATATATATAATCACTTATATCCTTCTATTACTCATATTTTAATATTACGTATATAAATATATAGTTTTTGACTTTCAAAATTCTATTTATTTTTTATTATGCTTTTATTTCCTTAGTAAAAATCTTCTCATTGTTTAAATCCAACAAATGTAATTTCATTCACTATATGAAATATAATATCATCCAAATTAGATAGAGAATGAAGCATATGTTGTCAAAATTTAATAATTTTTATTGTTTTTTTTTTTAAAGTTTGAACCCCTTGTTTACTTAAAGTTGTTGTGACTCATAAATAAATGATTATTCAATTTATTTACTTTTAAAAAAATATCAATATTCTGAGTAATGTGAATGAGGGAAAGGGGAAGTTACTTAGAAGTGGGTTGGGTTAATAACTTTTTATTGGTCATGTATGCATAAATTTTAAAATTTATCTTATCTTCTATTAAAAAAATACTACTAATAACTCACATTTCCTTCTGTTTCTTTTATAATTGAAAATACTTTTAGATTTCATTATTTAAAACAGTTGCCAAAATTTGATTTTAAAAAAATAAAATTTCAAAAATAATAGAAACTATTAAAATTTGAATTTGATTTTTTTTTTAAGTTAAAGACAAACAATTAGACTTAAAGATATTTAAATATTTTAAGATTAAATTGAATTTTTCTTTTAATGCTAGATTTTCTTCCTTTTACTTACACATAGATGGAATTTGAATTAACTTTTATTTCTAATGAGAAAAATACTACTTTTTATGATAATGACATGTGACAATTTTTACATCTCATATTATATATAACTAAAAGATATTGATTAGTACATATTTTTCATAAGCGTGAAATTTTAAAATTAATGTTATTCTCTATTTTATTGGTTAGAATTCTTCCATTGTCTAAGTGTATTAACAATAATATTTAGCATTTAATTATTTGCTCTATTTATGCCCTTTTTTTTAATCAAACAAAAAATATAACCCCATGATATTTTCTCTAACTGTTTTTCACAATAGTGTTTAGTATGTGATTACACATGTAACCTTTGAATTTGCCTTAATAAGTGGAATCGTTTCACAAAGTGATTTTTTTATTTCAAATTCTTTTTTCTATATAACTTTTGTAAAGATAAAAATTCAAATGTTGATAATGATAAGAATTGTTATGAAAATTATATATCAAACATGTAACCTTTGAATTTGCCTTAATAAGTGGAATCGTTTGACAGAGTGATTTTTTTATTTCAAATTCTTTTTTCTATATAACTTTTGTAAAGATAAAAATTCAAATGTTGATAATGATAAGAATTGTTATGAAAATTATATATCAAACACTTTTCATACAACTATGGTCAATATAATGATAATTAGTAGCCCATTAGAATTTTCTGAATAAATGACAAAATTAAAAATTTACATATTTCTTCTTGTTTTATGATTCCAACATCATCATAAGCAAGAATGAATGATTGAATATAAGTATTTTCTTCTTCAGATGATTTAATTAAATACAAATTAAAAAAGTTTAAGGTTAATAGAATTTCATACCTATTCAATGCACTTAAATTACTAACGACATGAGTTGATTTCAAATGAAAAAAAATTTCCGTAATAATTCTAATAGAAATCCTCACAATTTATATTTTATTTATAGTTTAGAAGATATAGCAAAAAAAAGAAAATAAAGACTCCCAAATTTTGTGTTTTACCTGTATGGTGGAGAATTCTTCAATCTGTGATGAAGTCCTAGAAGTAGTTCATTCCTAAAGAAATCAAAATTATATTTTTATTATGTGGATACAACTAAATACATATACATAAAAAAAAAGAAGGATGAATCAATTGAAAATACATTTTAAATTTATTTTGTAATAACACAAATATAAAACAGAGAACAAATATATGATCTTCAATAAAAAAAAATTGGTATTAAAATAATCATTCTTCTTCTTCTTAACTTTTTTTTTTTCTGTAAATTGAAGACTTTTAAATTTTTATAGAGAATCAATAATGGACAATGATACGGAAATAGAGAATCAAAGAGAGTAAAATCAATTATTGAGAGATCGGCTAAAAAAGATCAAAAGCTATATTATATAGCTTTAAACGTGGGTGGCAGTTTTAAGACATTTGAATTGACAGTTTTGGTTTTTAAATTTTTTGACAGTTTTTTTTTAAAAAATTTAAAAAATAAACTACACAACAGGTACCCCATTACCCATTTATACTCACAAATATATGGGATAAAAATAAATACTCTAATTCTAATTAGAATAAATATAAGAGTCCAATAAAATTTAAACATTAGCCATCTAATCAATTATTTCTAAAAGAATAAAAAGAATAAAGAAGAGTTATTTTATCTATGTTAACTTTTTAATTTTAAAAATAATCCGTTCAAAATATATTGATTTTTCAAAATTCTAAAATTTAAATTTAAAATTACTAACCAATGAAGATTTAAATTATTTTAAAATTTTTATTTTTATTTTTAAAACTAAAAAATGGAGAATTTTTGTGGTGCTGACATGTGGCACTTTTTACTTGTCCTATTATATATAGAAGATAGAAGATATAAATTTTATATATTTTTTTAAATGGTTATATCATGATAAATTTAAGTAATCTTTAATAAAAATTAATTTTTAAAATTTAAGTTAAGAATTTAATATGATTACAAATTACAAATAATTAATTTTAATAAGGAAATTATTTTTCTATTGCAATAAGATTTTACGAACTATATTTTGTGACTTTTGTCTTATAAACCATAAGTTATAAATCTATCCAAACATGCTCTAATAAAAACAGATAGAATTATCAAAGATATCCCATCTATAAGACATATAATAGTTTTATCGAACTTTATAGGCAAACATATATAACATATGTTTAAACATCATACTCTTCACAACAATACTACTTAAAAAATATGTAACTCTTTTAATTTTATTTTTTTTATAGTTTTTAAATATTTTCTTACTTCCTTATTAGAAAGTATCAAAAATAAAATCAACACACTAAATTATTCGACTAATTAAAACTTAAGCATCAAACCAACAAACTCGAAATATACTACTAAAATAGTATAGAATCTTAGATAACTTCAACAAAATATTGAGATCATTTCATGATTGTTTATATAATCAAACAAAAACATATGCTAAAATTTTGTATTAAATTTATGATCATGACTAATTTATCTTGCGCTAAGATTAAAAATCTATATTTAAAAAAGATCATGAATTAATACAGTGAACAAACTTGTTAAATTCTAAAATAAAAAATTATAAATACTTACCTCTAGTGTTGATTTTATACTCCAAGTATCTTCCAAATATTAACCTGTCACATTTTGAAGTGACACACAAACGTACTAAAAAAATATATCAAAAATTTAACATTTAGATTGAAATTTTTTAACAAAAATGAAGAACAATGAATATACATATAAATAAGACAAAGATAAAAGAAGAACAAAAACTGATACAAAGAAAGTTGAAAGAATGGTTTGCCAACATTACAGTATTAGTATATATATAAAAAATAGTTTCAATTTTGTAACCGTTTTTTTAAACTCATTTATTAGAAAGATTTGCAAACCGTGTGTTTGAATTCTTTTGAAATTTAAAATTTATTTTTAAAACTTTTTTTAAGAATTTAAACCGTTTATGTACTTTTTAGAAATCTGCTAAACAAATTCAGTTTTATTTTTCAATACTACTTTTTTTTTTAAAAAAAAAAAAAACCAGATTTAAAAGTTTTTTAAAAAACCGCTTTATATGATATTAAAAATAAAATATTTTTTTCTTGGTGATGACATTTGTCAGCATTTTTATATAAAAATAGATGACATTTTATCAGTGTTTTGTATAAATGCATTTTAAAAAAAGAAGGCATAAATTAGTTTTTTTAAAAAAAAATATTAAATCTGTCCTAGATAGAATTTTTTTAAAAATTGAATTTTGAATTTTTTAACTGATTTGAAGTGGAGTTTTATAACCAATTGATCTTTATTTGATATGTGTGTTTTTATTTCAAATTTTAAATTTAGAATATTTAATTAGTTATATAATATTTAATTATTTATTATTTAAAATCCTAAATTTTGTGGTGCTGACATGTGTCCTTTTTTCTTCTCCTATTATATATAGATAGATATATATATATAGATATTATTATTATTATTATTATTTATTATTATTTATTATTATCTACATTTGTTTGGCTAAAAATCCTGTCGTTTTTCTTTAAAAAAAAACTAACAATTTTAATTGGCTAAAAAAACTGTAACTTTTCTTTTAAAAAAGCAACTTTTTTCTTTTATTAAAATATTAAATTAATTCTATTTAATTAGTTGATTATTTAAAAGTGAAAATTAGAGATTAATTGTGGTGCTGACACGTAGGCGCTATCGCCTCTCCTATTATATATAAGATTTTTTTGCCATTTCTGTCAACTGTCTCCATTTGTTTAAACCCCAGCATCTATGCCCTAGTTACTGCTTAGTTTTGCATCACATCAGCGCCAACACTCAAAGCAGTAACTACATGCCATAACTATTTAATTTTAAAAAACACTGTTCATCCAACACTCCAAGGACCAATAGTGCTGTGAGAGGTCAACCATCATCTTCGTCGCTACTGTCATCAACATTGGTGGTTGCGCTACTGCTTGAAACTAATGGAATCACTGGTTGCTGATGAGCTATTGCAGACTCAGCAGTAGCAACAGCCTCAGAGGAATAAAGCTCTGCAACACCTAATATTAAATTCATTTCTATGTATTCAGAATCCTCCCGGGTGAGTTCTTCTATATCATACTTTTTAGGATTTTCCTTTTCATCAACCTCCAGTTTTTTGTTTGCTTCTGATAACACTCCCAGGAAATTCTTGACCTTGTCTAGAACTTGGCTCTGGGAAGTTGAAGAGATCTCAGGCTTCTTGATAGTCGGATTAAGTTTGGAAATTTGTGACTGCAGATCACTCCCTCCGTTGCAGATCAAAAGTTTTGATTCGAAGGATGAGAAAGAGCTTTTGCTTCCCCCCTCCAAGTCCAACAGAGCATTGCTTGTGGACTTCATCTGAAGAGATTTCTCTTGGTATCGAACACAAGTAGTAGATAGGAACAATACTCTTAACCAGGGCCAAGTAAGACCAAAGCTGCTAGTTAAAGATCTTCTGCATGGAAATAATGGATTTAGTATTTTTAGGGGTTGGAGTGGAAGCATTTCAACAGATCAGATTGTATATGATAAATAAATACTTTAAAAAAGGAAAAACAAGCAGCTCACTTTAATCAAATCCCCCCTCAATGATACAAGTGAAACAGATACTTGCATGCTTCTTCAAAAGTTCTCTCAGATCTCCCCAAAGCCACATGGAACATAGTAATTGTTTTTCTTCTTTTTTTTTGTTTAGATCATTCGAACAAAGAGTAATTATTATTACCTTAGATAAATATGCACGATGCACACCAACTATTAAGAAAGTTTCTCACCTAACAAAGTGTTCATCATAGCATTGTTTTGTGCTACAATTATCAACTGTATTTATTCATATACTTCTTTCGAGATTCCACTTTGACAAACAATTGAGCAACACACTACATAAAGTATCCTTATCATGTGGAGCGGGAACATAAACAAATCTCAAGATATGATCCTGACGCTACCATGAGTCATCAATAAAATGTGTCGTAATAGCCATGAACCCATTTTGTTTTAGTTTGAAGTCCACAAATCAGTTGTTACTGCAATTCTACTTGTGAGTTTCTCCGGCAACTTAAAAGTTTTTTATTTCAAAATGTCATTTTTGATTGTGTTCCTCTACACCATTTTGAATAACGGTTTGAGACTAGCAATAAACTTCCTAATTCCCACATATGATCAACAATGGTCCGTGGATTCTCATGCAAAATGATGGCATGAACAAGTTCTCTACCTGAAACATCTTGATCAAAGTAATATCAATGGCAATCATCATCTCACCCCTAACCACCTTTGTTTTCCAAGTTACTTGGACTATTGGGTCACCTAGGAGTATGATTCCGAGTTGATTTCATACGAACACCGCAATTATAGCTTCATTTGCTAGTGAGGGCCTTTTGGCTCTCATTCTCAATAAGGACAGTACCAGAAGATGAACAAATTAGATTCGGTTCGTCTTGAGACTCCATAGTTTCTATAAAGTAATTAGCAACCAACATGTTCTGCAGAAAATTAGTGTACTATAGAAACAAGAAGAACAAAAAGCGCATTCAAGACCAAGTGACCAACATGTTTGAACAACTAAATCAGCTTTTCAAATATCAATGTATTATGTATATGATATTTGACCATACAAACAAATAGTTATTCAGTGAAAAACTAGGCTGGAATTATAATTGTCTCGAATTTTCAAAAAGACACCTTAACTGTACGGGTGTCCTATTACCCCACAAAAGTATTGAATATCGTTGTAAAAGGGCCATGTTGACCCATTTTCATACCTGATTTGTGAACACGCACAACACGCGCGTGAAGGTTTGTTTTTGCTGATAAAAACCAATTAAAAAGTGCCACATTTCGGTTGTTTTCTTTATTAATTATTTACTTGCTTTAAATCATGTTCTTCCCCAAAACATTACTGTTTCAAACTCGGCATTCAAGCTCTTCTTTATAATCATCTCCATTAACAACTTCCTTAAAGTCCCAATTCAGCAATCAATTCTCAAATTCCTTCTATTTCGAAACCCTAATTTTGACTGAACAAACTCAAACCCAGCAAAAATTGTTCACACCCAAGTGAGAAAATACTAAAACAAATTCAACCCAAAAACAGAGAGACAAAAAACAAAGCAAAACCCAATTACAACACCAAGAAAGAGAAACAAAAAGAGAAAAAAATTCACAGAAAAAGATAATTATATACTGAAAGCCAAAAGAAGACCTGATTAGCGGAAAGAACGGGATAAATAGAGATTGAAGGAAAGGATTTTATATTAATAAATAAATAAAATGTGTGTGACAATGTCAAATTTGACGGGGAAGAGAAATTAATTTAGGAACATTTTTTAGGTTTAATGGAAATATAGATATAGCTTGTGTGTATCACACGTGAGCATCACTTTTTGAAACAAATCGGGTCGGCTAGAAATTAGCGTGAGCCTCACGCACGTCTTACCAGGTGAGGAAATGGCCCTAAATGGCCCCTTTTACAACGATATTCAATACTTTTGTGGGGTAATAGTATGCCCACAAAGTTAAGTGTCTTGTTGAAAAGTCGACACAATTTCAATGATTCTTTCTCTAAATATGACAAACAATGTTTCATCCATCACTTTGCTTCATCAGTTGTAATTTGACATGTTACTTTCTCAGGTCTCAAATGAAAATTAGAGTTCAAAGAGAAACAGACAAAGCATATAATTACAAATTATAAATCAAAGTCTAGTACAAAACAAATCCTACTTTGTCAATTTCAAAATTCACCAAGGCGAATTGATTAGTACGAAATTATAGTCAAGCTATGCCTGTTTCTGTTAATTTATAGGAAACCCATATCAAGAATTAGACATAAAAGCCTTATAAAGTTGAATTTGTAGAAAAGCAACCCAAATAAAAAAAAATCTGGAGTTAAGACTATTACCAGAATGGAGAGAATAACAGTGTGAAGAGATGGAGAGTCGCCGGTGCCCCCATGCCGTGCCGTACTGCCGTCAAGAGTGAAGTGAAGAACTAGAGGCGAGAATAATACTTCCGTAGGCTTATTAAGGGATTGTTTGGTATAAAGATTAATAGAGTTGTCAATATGGGTTGACCCATCTCATTCAGGTTAATCCATATAGGCTTTGAAATTTTACAAGTCAGGCCGGGTTAGTTCATTTTTTGTGTGGGTCAGAAAATAGCCGGTCCAGCCCATAAGTATGCGGGCTACGGGCTTTGTCGGGTCAGCCTTTTTTTCTTAAAAGTATATTTTTTATAATTTTTTAAATTAAATTATAATTTAAAAATATTATCATAAATATCGACAAGACAATATTGCATAGAGTTAGTGTTACTACTTGTTAATTAAATCCACAAATAAAATTATTTTTATAATATTTATTAAGTTTGATTTTAAGTAAAAACATAAATAGCTAAATAGAAATATTAACATAATTGTTTACCAATGATCATAATAAAACACAATATTCCATAGGCCACGACCTATGTAGTGATTCCGTAGAAATTTTAGGGAATTTTTATTTTATGTAGTATATATTTTATAAATATAGTTTGTATTTAAATTGTAATATTTCAAACTTTAAAAAGATTTTGAGTTCAGACTCTTATTATTTTTAATACTTTATTTTTATTTTATTTTTTAATTAATTTTTATTTGGCCCACGGACCGGCCCTATTCATATTTCTCAAGCCCCACAAATCGGCAGACTTATTTAAGCGGGGCAAAAAAGCTCTTTTCTTAAATGGGCTCCAAAAATCATAGTCAGTCCTATCAAATTACAGGTTAGGCTAGGCCGGCCCAACGGGCCTAACCCATATTGACGTCTCTAAAGATTAATAACACAGAAATTACTAATGCAGTATTTTTATCAAGTGAGTATTGGTAGTGTAGAATTTATTTTTGGCTGAACCCATCGCTGACCCTTAAAGTTGGCACAAAGTTTCATGTAGACACTTTAATTGAACTTTGTTCATTTAAAACATTTTATGTAGCACTACATCGTGTCATTTGGACACTTTTTGCTGACTCAGCATAGTGATTATGCAACATGAATTTTTAGCGTGTTTGAGAAGCTTTTTGGGTGATTTTTTTTCTCTTTCTTCTTCTTCCTCACACTCTCTCTGCAATCTTCCACCACCCTTCATCGATTTTCTTTTCACTGCTTCTTCTTCCTCCTCACTCTTTCTAGTTGCCACCATAGACCACCCCTTATCATGACACAAATTTTGAGAAAACATATAATTTTTGTTGAGTTTGTACACCACTTAGTTTTTTCTTCTTTCTTGAAAATCAAATTTGTTTTTTTTATCCATCATTCAATACTAATACAAAATACACAATAATTTTATTTTTTTCACTTCTTTTGCATTATATCCGCTAGAGGAGAAATAATAATTGAATTATTTAATTTATAATTACCGAATCCTCTCCAACTACAATAGAGATGAATATTTCAAAATAGTGAAATTCTTATATTTGTATCTTCTGCTACATGACTCTCATAAAAAAAAGTAAAAAAGTACATAATAGAAAAGAAAAAAAAAAGATGGAGGAAATGGGTTGGGATAAGGGGAGATTATATATAGATAATGGAGGAGAGGATACTTTTTAAAAAAAAAAAAAAAATTAGAATGAAATTACTGAGAAGAAAAAGATAATAATTTCAAGGCACAAAATAAGAAGATGAAGAACAAATTTACAGAGAACGAAATTATTGGGAGATTCTCATGTTCTTGGTGGAGTTTAGGAAGAAGAAGATGAAGAACTGGGGGCATGGGGTTACAGATCTGGAGAAAAAATAAATTAAAAGTGATGTTTTTCTTTTTATAAAAAAAAAATCCACTTGTCACTTAAAGAATGGTCTATTTTCTAGCAAGGGTGTTTGTCAACACACACTTAAGTTGGATCTGGGAATATAAAAAAGGGCAAACTACATAAATCTCACTAGTTTAGGTCCTAATTACTAGAATTCATGATAGTTTCGAAAATTACTTCTTGTAACATATTTCTTCCTTTAGATGCATGTATCATTACTCGTCAGATACATGTATCCAATAATTTTAAAAATCGAGATACATGTTTAATTAATCCACATGGACAGTTAATTAATTCTGGAAATATTAATTAAATTCCTTAATATAAATCAAGGAGTGTATCTTTGTTTAATTATTTCATTTTATTACTCTTTATAATAATAAATTCATTAATATTATTAATAAAAGACAAAAACATGTATATCTTGGTTATGAAATTTGATTAATTTCAACTTATTACTCTTAAAATAATAAATTCATTAATTTGATGTTTTTATTATCAATATATGATGTATCCAATAAAATAAACACTTAGATACATTAGTGTACGGTATCTAGTATTA